ATAAAAATTTTTATATTGGATGCTATTATAAACTATGTAAAAGAAAAAGCATATCTATAAAGTAAATCTTACACGAGAAAGGAATTAATAGAATAACTGAATGACAGAGTTGGAAGGGACCTTGGAGGTCTTCTAGTCCTGCCCCCTGCTCAAGCAGGAGGACCGAACCATCTCAGACAAGTGACTGTCCAGTCTCTTCTTAAAAACCTCCAGTGATGGGAGCACCCACAACTTCTGGAGGCAAGCTGTTCCACTGGTTAATTGTCCTCCCTGGCAGGAAATTTCTCCTTACACCTAGATTGCTTCCAAGGGTAAGTAGATGTACTACAGGCTATATATTTTAGGAGTGTTGAATAGCAACTTACAGACGAAACAACTCTTGTTCTGGGTTACAAAACTTCCCCCAAATGAGTTGCATTAGGCTAGCCACATTGTTAAAATATGCTTTATATATTGTTTAGGTATATGCTGCTTAGATTCATGTAAACAAATCTGTAAGAATAACATACTTTTCCACATCATTGTTACCTTGTTCGTCAAGAAGTTTTTTTGTGAGGTCTTCTGCTTCCTCCCCGCAATCTAGATCAAGGGTCTCATCGTTAATATCCAAGTTTTCTAGTTCCAGTTCTAGATCTTCCGTGACGGATATATCTTTGTTTTCCTTAGTTTCTTTTAGCTCTGTTTCAAAAAGAATTCGATGTACATTTTACATTGCCTTTGAAATAACACATATTGCTCTTTTTATTTTTCTGATGAAAGTATAAAGCACATGGATGAAATAATAACACCATTTATCTGGTCCCTAATGCTTAGACATTTTCATTTTTTTTTAAAAGAAGTTTGAAGCACTCTTTTCCTGTTCTTGCCAGAAAAATAAAAAAGCCGTTACTATTTTAACCTTAAAAACGCAACATTGGCAATGATCACATTTACACAGAGCATTAAGCTACACTGTAGTTTTTGAAATCCATTCAAAATTATCCTTACTAAGGTATATGCCCCCAAGCCTATTTATGGAATCTGGTGTGTTTACAGCGTTTCTTGTATATTGTTAGTTATCTTTGATTTGTTTCCGCCTATCATTCAATCTGACAGCCAAGAAACAAAGTGGAAGGGGAAATAGTTCGGAAATTCACCCCCTTTACTTTGGCTCAAAATATGGGCAAGGAATTCCCACAGTGTTTTTCAAAACTTATTTCTACAAAAAAGTTCCATGGTAGCAAGCGAACGTCTTGACTTGCAAGATTAGGTTAAGTTAGGTTAGGTTAAGTTCATTTATAGGCTGCCCTTTTCCCTGAGGGGACTCAGGGCGGCTTACAACT